GAGTCCCACTCTGTTGCCCAGAGTGATCTGGACTCACTGCAACCTCTGCCTCCTGGGTTCAATCGGTTCTCATGCCTCAGTCTTCCAAGTAGCTGAGATACAGGCATGTGCCACCATGCCCGGCTAATTTTTTGTATTTTTAGTAGAGATGGGGTTTCATCATGTAGGCCAAGCTGGTCTTGAACTCCTGACCTCAGATGATCTGCCTGCCTCAACCTCCCAAAGTCCTGGGATTATAGACATGAGCCACTGTGCTTGGTGTCTCTCTTATTTATATATATTTTTTAGAAAGACGGAATCTTGCTCTGTCACCCAGGCTGGAGTGCATTGTCATGATCGTGGCCCACCGCAGCTTTAACTCCTGGCCTCAGTTGATCCTCCCACCTGGTCCTTGCAAAGTGTTGGGATTACAGAAGTGAGCTAGTGTGCCTGGCCCTAAAAATAAAAGCTTTCTAAAAATTTAGAACAGTTTTAGATTTCCAGAAAAATTGAGAAGATAGTGCCATGAGTTTCCATCTACCTCACACCCAGTTTTGCCTATTATTAATAGCTTACGTTAGTATGGTACCTTTATTACAATTAATGAACCATGTTGACATATTATTATTAACTAAAGTCCATCAGTTTAGATTTCCTTAGTGTTTACCTAAGTCTTTTTTCTGTTCTGGGATCCCATCCAAGATACCACAAAACACTGAGTTGTCATGTCACTTTGGATTCCTATGGCTATGACAGTTTCTCAGTCTTTTCCTTGTTTTTTTTATGGAAAAACAAGGAAAGTACTGGTCAGATATTTTGTAGATCATCCCCCTCTTGTGATTTGTCCAATGTTTCTTCCCATGATTAGACAGAATTTGGAAGAAGAGCATAGAGGTAATCAATTGCCTTTTTAAAAAATTACCTTTTGATAGGTAATATATTCCCATAATTTTTAAAAAGTATAACTCAAAGTAAGAAGCCTCTCTTCTTTCTTGTTGCCCTTCAGTGCAGGATATTTCTGTGACCCCCTTTCCTAAACGGATTATTCCTATATAATTCCCATTATAAAGCTAATAAGCTTGCTTATGTATCCTGAGAGTTTCTATGCATATGTTACAAATATCCCTCTTCCATTTTTATTCAAAGGCAGCACAAAACACAGTATGGATCTTGCTTTTTATTTTTAACTTAGCTTCATATCAATACAGAGAGCATGCTCATTTTTTCTTTACAGCTGTGTAGTACTCCATTGTATGAATCGGTGTTTTAAAAATAGAAGTCAGATCTGTAAGGCTGGTATTGTTGAGTGTTGCACAGATGTCTAATGTTCATAAAGGCAGTCTAGGATGAGAACTGCTGGGATAGAACCTTTCTAGAGCATTTTTGCATTTCATGATAACATGTAGACATATGGCTGTTTAGTTGCAAGAGTCTATACTGGGACTCTCTTGTCCGTAGTGTGACAAAATGTGAGGGCCTGATTCAGGGTGTGGGGAGAAGCATTCCAGGGCATTGCCAACTTCAAGGCAGAAAGGCCATTGTAGCTTCTGTGTTCACTTCTGTTATCCCACTGAATATTCTGGATCAGGAAATGCCAATTGCAGGTATATGTCTGTTTTAGTAGTAGTTGTCTGATCTTGGACCTCTGGGGTGTACAGAAGTGGGGAGAGGCTGAGTGGAAGGAGGCCAACTAGGAGGCTGTGGCAGGAATTTAGACCAGAGGGCCTGGCTTGGGCTGTTGGGGCTGGAGGTTGCAGACAGGAAGGGTTGGCTTAGGATAAACATTTCTTGCATCTTGAAGGAATGACCAACCGGACGTGGTGGCTCCCTGGATGATTGATAAACACAGGGGTGAGTCAGTAAATTTCAGAAGAACATATTTTTAGATTATAGTTTGCAGTAAACCTTGGGCTTCAGAGACATTAAGCAAAAGAGATACAGGGAGTTGCCACTGAACTGAGAATAGTCACTATGCAGACAGCAACGAAGATGAGATGTGGCCATCGTCTGGGCTGCTAGTTCCTGTTTGCATGACCTGGACCTAACACTCTGACATTTGTGAACTCCGGCTGTTTAGTTTTTTATTCATCGCTTCCTTCCTTTTGAAAATGCTTATTGGTGCTGAGTGACTCATCCGGCAAAGTCCAAACTCTGAAATATTAATAGGTGGAGAGAGGAAAGATGCCAAGGGTGTGAGTCTGGCACTACACGTATCAGCATACAGCCTGTGGTTTTGGATCTTGGAGTACCTGTCTGGTACCTGTACCTGGCACACTGAATTCCTGGACATCAAGGGCTGGTGGATCATTCACCTGTGCATCTCTAGCATCCCCCAGTCCAGTGCTGAGCATTTAGGGTTTGTTGAATGCAGAGTTTCCTGGATTTGAATCACTAAGTGAGCCAAGTGTGGTAGCTCATGCCTGTAATCCTAGCACTTTGAGAGGCTCAGGCAGGAGGATCACTTGCGCCCAGGAGTTTGAGAGCAGACTGGGCAACATGGCAAGAGTTTGTCTCCACCAAAAATTAAAAATTAAAAAAAAAAATTTAGCCAGGTGTGGTAGTGTGTACCTGCAGTCCCAGCTACTTGGGAGGCTGAGGTGGGAAGATCACTTGAGGCCAGGAGTTTGAGGCTACAGTGATAGTACTACTGCACTTCCAGCCTGGGCAGCAGAGCCAAACCCTGTCTCAAACAAACAAGAAATCAAAAAAAGAAAGCTCACTGAGTGAGTGAATTCATTTAAAATTAGAAGGTTATCAGCACAGACAGGCCCAGCTTGTCAGTAGGTTATGTTCAGACCTCCTTGGTCCACATTTGGCCCTGGGATGGCTTTTCCTCTTGAAGTAAGATGAGGCACGGTGGGTGCGTCCCAGCAGCACCAGAGCCTCCTGCTGCAGGCCTCCCTGGGTAAGGTTAATGAGGATGAGGAGGCCAAGGGTTCAGGCTTAGGGCTGGTGGAAACCTTTGTTCTCACCCGCTGTGGGCTCTCAAAGCTTCTCTTTCTTTCTTCCTAGTCTCTCAGGTTCTGGCTGTTTCTCCCTCCCTTCTGTCCCAGCCACCATCCTTATCTCAATTGGTATTTCTTCTAAAGTCCCTGGGGTGACATGGTAAAGCTTCCTTCCCGCCTCCACCACCTCCTGCACCCACCCCTCTCCCAGTCAGCAATTATGCCATTTGCAATTTCTGTGAGTTTTTGCTGCTAGTGACAAAGGAGAGGCAGGGAGTTAAAATTAGCAAATTAGGGAAATGTTCCAGTTGCAAGACATTGGTTTTTTTTTTTTTTTTTTAACCCCTATTTTGGCACTTCTTCTCTTTTACTTTTTAAATGTTTCTTTTCTTTTTCCAGCTTTATGGAGGTATGGTTGACAAATAAAAATTGTATATATTTGATATGATGTTTTACTATATGTACACATTTGCAGTAATTACTACAATCCAGCTAATTCACATATTCTTCACCTCCCATAGTTACCTTTTTGTGTGTGTGGTGAGAGTGTTTAAGATCTACTCTCTTAGCAATTCTCAAGTATACAATGCATTGTTATTAACAGTAGTCACCATTCTGCATCATAGATCTCCAGAACTTATTTATTCTCTCTGACTGAAACTTTGTACCCTTTAACGATTTGCCCTTTCTCCACCCCACCCCTACCAGCGATGGCAACCACCATTTTACCCTCTGTTTCTCTGAGTTCAACTTTTTTCGACTCCACATATAAATGACATAATGCAGTATGTCTTTCTGTGCCTGACTTAATAGTCTTCTCCAGGTTCATCCTGGAATGATTTTCTCCATTTTTTTAAGGCTGAATAGATTGCATTGTATGTATATACCACTTTTTAAAAATATCACATTTTCTTCATCTGTCTGTTGATTCCATGTCTTGGCTGTTATGAATAGTGCTGCAAGTAACATGGGGGTGCAGGTATGTCTTTGACACACTGATTTCATTTTCTTTGGCTATATACCCAGAAGTGGAATTGCGGAAACACACAGTAGTTCTAGTTTAGGGAATCTCCATACCGTTTTCCCTAATAGCTGTA